GGCCTGGGCTGGGGATTTGAACCCGCCACCTTAGGTGTATGTGGCTGGCGCCTTAGCTGCTTGAGCCACAGGCGCTGAGCCGGTTATATTCTTTCTAATCTTCTTATCCCTCATTCATTAGCTAGAAGAAATCTATTAGAGAGAAATTTTCCCTAATCTACCACTATGTTATCCTGAGGTTCCTATGGGAAAGGTAGGATAAATTCTTGATTCTTCCCCTTTATCTATCATTTTTCAAAATAACGAGTCCCTAGCATTTTCCAAAAGCAACTTATTAGTTAAATTTTTTTTCCTAGGTGCACCTATACCTCAGTGAATAGGGCGCTGGCCACATACACTGAGGCAGGTGGGTTCAAACCCAACCTGGGCCTGCTAAACAACAATGGAAACAGCAAAAAAAAAAAAAAGCCAGGCATTGTGGTGGGCACCTGGAGTCCGAGCTATTCTACTTAAGAGAATCACATAAGCCCAAGAGTTAGAGGTTGCTGTGAGCTGTGACACCACCACACTCTACAGAGGGTGACATAGTGAGACTCTATCTCAAAAAAAAAAAAATTATTGGCTTGGCGGCTGTGGCTCAAGTGGCTAAGGCGCTAGCCACATACACCGAAGGTGGCGAGTTCGAATCCCGCCAGTGCCCACCAAACAACGACAGCTGCAACCAAAAAATAGCCAGGCGTTGGGGCAGGTGCCTGTGGTCCCAGCTACTTGGGAGGCTGAGGCAGGAGACTCACTTGAGCCCAGGAGTTGGAGGTTGCTGTGAGCTGTGATGCTGTCTACCCAGGGTGACAGCTTGAGGCTCTGTCTCAAAAAAAAAAAATGTTTTTCCTCATGAATTTAAACATATTTGATGTGTGTCAATTCATTACAGTTATAGTCCTTAGTGATGCTCACATTATTTCTTCTTTTGCAGAGGAAACATCTTTTAGCAGGCTCTGAGCCACTTGTCTTGACACTTCCTTGATATCTGAAATGGTAAGATATTCTAGTTCTATCTTTTATATTTTCTAGCCTAGTTCTGGAATAAACTATTTCTCATTATTACTGGGCTGATCATTTCCTAGGCTTTTTAGTGGGTAGAGCTAGAAATGCATTTCTTTAAAGACAGGGTACTTAATTAATTCATACTAAATATTCTAAATCCAATTGGAAACTAAGAATTTTTACTGGTCCCATTTCCCTCTGTCTCTTTAGGTCTGGACCAGGGCTCCTCTGTCGGCCTCATCCCCCCTCCCGCCTCTTCCCCTCCCTTCCTCTCCTGCCACAGCTCCTCCTCTCCTGTCACAGCCCTTCCTCAGGCTTCCCCCCACCTTTGCATCCCATCTTCCCAACATGCTCAGAACCTACTTCATCCTCCTTTAGGTCAGGCCCTGAGCTTCCTTGCCCTCTCCATTACAACGGTCACTGTAGTTTCTCCCCACAATAACTTTGGGTCCTTCTGCCCTCATCTTATTCTTGGGCCGCACTCTTACAGTCCAGTTCTCCAATGGGAAGCTTTAGAATCCAGGCAACATGCGCTTTACCTTATACAAAAGCACCGACGCCAAAAACCCCAGGAGGAGAAATTAGCGGATCCTGGCAGCTTGAACAGACAGACTTTCCTATGTGGGAAATAATTTTGGGACTGGAGCCCTGAAACGCAACACTCTATGCAGGCACTTTGTAGGAATATTGAACAAGACCTCTGGCCAAATGGAAGTGTTTGATGCGGAACTGTTGAACATGCAGCCACTGTTTTCAGATGAATCAGTTGAGACTGAACAGACACTAGACAGCCAGACCAAAACTTTCAGAGAAAAGATGGATTCTTGTATTGAAGCCTTTGGTACCACCAAACAGAAGTGAGCGCTGAACTCCAGAAGAATGAACAGGGTTGGCAATGAATCTTTGAATCTTGCAGTAGCTAAAGCTGCAGAGAATATCACTGATACAAAGATTGTGACTGCTCTGGTCTGTGATGCCATCCATGATGACTTGCAAGATGACTCCCTCTACCTTCCTCCCTGCCATGCCGATGCAGCCAAGCCTGAAGATGTGTATAAATTTGAAGATCTTCTTTCTCCTGTGGAGTATGAAGCTCTTCAGAGCCCATCTGAAGCTTTCAGGAATGTCACATCAGAAGAGATACTGAAGATGATTGAAGAGAACAGCCACTGCTCCTTTGTCATAGAAGCACTGAAGTCTTTGCCATCAAACGAGGAGAGCTGAGATCGGCAGGCCTGATGCATATGGTTTCTGGATACCCTCATCAAATTTCGAACTCAGAGAGTGATTAAGCGGAAAAGTGCCCTGGGACCTGGAGTGCCACACATCAACACCAAGCTGCTGAAGCACTTCCCCTGCCTGACTTACAACAATGGCAGTTTGCATAACTTAATTTTGGATTCTATGAAGGCGAAGATTACTGCATATGTGATCATACTTGCCTTGCACATAAGCAGCTTCCAGATTGACCTGACGACGTTACAGAGGGACTTAAAGCTCAGTGAGAGAAGGATGATGGAGATAGTAAGAGCCATGAGGCTGACGATCTCTAAAAGAAGGGTGTCTCTGGCTGCTGGTGGGGAAGAAGATCACAAACTGGGCACTCTGTCCATCCCACTGCCTCCAGCACAGACCTCAGACCGCCAGTCAAAGCGGAGGAAAATTACCTAGATGTGTGCTTTTCAGACAGCATGTGACCCTATCACAGCTACTGGTTCTATTCATTTTCATTTTTACTTTTAATGAACTATAGAAATAATCCCTAAAAAAAAAAAAAAGAATTTTTACTTACCCTCATGAATCTTTTTTTTTTTTTTTTTTTTTAGACAGAGCC